CTACGACTACTACTACTACTACTGCTACTACTACTACTACTACTACTACTACTACTACTACTTCTACGACTACTACTACACCTACTACTACTACTACTACTACTACTACTACTACTACTACTACTTTTACTACTTTTACTACTACTACTACTACTACTACTACGACTACTACTACTACTATTACTACTTCTACTACTACTACTACTACTACTACTACTACCGCTACTGCTACAATTGCGACGATGAGGAGAAGGAGGAGGACGGCGTTTACCGTTACTACTAATATTGCTCTCCTCGGGGCTTCAACTCCTCGGGGCTCCTCTGGGATAATTTTCAAGTTCAGCTTGGGGAGGGAGCCTGTTGAGTATCGGTTGGCGTGTTGGAGACGGAGGGTGTTGAGTACTGGATGGTGTGCTGGAGACGGAAGGAGTTGAGTAGAATATCATTTTCAAGTTCAGCTTGGGGAGGGAGCCGGTTCAATATCTGGTGGTGTGTTGGGGACGGAGGGAGTTGAGTAGTAGGTTATGTTCAAGTTCAGCTTGGGGAGATAGCTCGTTGCTCCCCTGCCGCCTCCCCGCCCCCCAACACCTGTCTCTGTGCCTCCCGAATCAAGACAGAACGCGCGCGTGCACGGTGTTTGGCGCCACCGATGCACGGAACCGCTGTGTATTTTTTTTTCCCCCAACCATCCTGTGGTGTTGGGTCCTCATTTTGAAGAGACGGTGCCCCGCGTTCCTCTCCTCCTTCCTCCTCCCCCTCCTCCCTCCTCCCCCTCCTCTTCTCTCTTCCGTCAGAATGATCATCTGCAGCATCATCCTCATCCACATCCTCATCCTCATCATCGTCTTCATCATCGTCCCCACCGCCCATGTCGTCACACCCCTCACACGTTTCGTGGCCCCATAGGGAGCTCCACCGAAGGTCCCACTGGGGGCGTTCGCATGCGTCTCCCCCACCCAGGACAGCGTTTCGTGGCCCCATAGGGAGCTCCACTGAAGGTCTCAATAGGGGTGTTCGCATGCGTCTCCCCCACGCAGGACAGCGTTTCGTGGCCCCATACATAGGGAGCTCCACCGAAGGTCCCAGTAGGGGTGTTCGCATGCGTCTCCCCCACCCAGGACAGCGTTTCGTGGCCCCATAGGGAGCTCCACCGAAGGTCCCACTGGGGGTGTTCGCATGCGTCTCCCCCACCCAGGACAGCGCTTCGTGGCCCCATAGGGAGCCCACCGAAGGCCCAAGTGGGGGTGTTCGCATGCGTCTCCCCCACCCAGGACACTGTTTCGTGGCCCCATAGGGAGCTCCACCGAAGGTCCCAATAGGGGTGTTCGCATGCGTCTCCCCCACGCAGGACAGCGTTTCGTGGCCCCATAGGGAGCTCCACCGAAGGTCCCAATAGGGGTGTTCGCATGCGTCTCCCCCACACGCAGGACAGCGTTTCGTGGCCCCATAGGGAGCTCCACCGAAGGCCCAAGTGGGGGTGTTCGCATGCGTCTCCCCCACCCAGGACAGCGTTTCGTGGCCCCATAGGGAGCTCCACCTAAGGTCCCAGTAGGGGTGTTCGCATGCGTCTCCCCCACCCAGGACAACGTTTCGTGGCCCCATGGGGAGCTCCACCGAAGGTCCCACTGGGGGTGTTCGCATGCGTCTCCCCCACCCAGGACAGCGCTTCGTGGCCCCATGGGGAGCTCCACCGAAGGTCCCAATAGGGGTGTTCGCATGCGTCTCCCCCACCCAGGACAGCGTTTCGTGGCACCATAGGGAGCTCCACCGAAGGCTCCAGTGGGGGTGTTCGCATGCGTCTCCCCCACCCAGGACAGCGCTTCGTGGCCCCATGGGGGGCTCCACCTAGGACACAGGTTTGCCTGTCCCCCACCCAGCATCACCTAGGAAAGCGTTGGAGGAGGAGGAGGAGGAGGAGGAGGAGGAGGAGGAGGAGGAGGAGGAGGAGGAGGAGGAGGAGTGTCCTTTGGGCACATCTCACAGGCTTCGTTGCCTCATTGGGAGCTTCACCTGAGGTCCCAGTGGCGGAACTCGCATGGCGGCCAAGTGGCGGAGGCCGCGTGGTGGCGACCTCGTCTTTGTCTTCGGCGTATGGAGGACGCTTCCGGGCCCCGGGGCCATCAGAAATCGTTCCAGGGGAGAGGGGGGAGGAGGAGGAGGAGGGGGAGGAGGAGGGGGAGGAGGAGGAGGAGGAGGAGGAGGAGGAGGAGGAGGAGGAGGAGGAGGAGCAGGAGGAGGAGGAGGCGGAGGGGGAGGAGGAGAGGGGGGGGAGGAGGTGGGGGCCGATAACGGCAGGGCAGACCTGGCGAAGGACCCAACCATATGCAATTGTGAGTAACGCGTTGTGGGTGCCGCTTTCGGTGGGCCCCGAAACGCGTGAGGGGCGTGCCGTAATGGGTTGAGGGAACGCAAGCGGGCGGTCCCACTGGGGCCTTCGGTGGAGCTCTCTGTGGCGCCGCGAAACGCTGTACTGGGTGGGGGGGGGACGCATGCGGGCGGTGCCACTAGGGCCTTCGGTGGAGCCCCCTGTGGGGCCACGAAACGCTGTACTGAGTGGGGGGGACGCATGCGGGCGGTCTCACCGGGGGGCTTGATGATGACGATGATGATGATGATGATGATGATGATGATGATGATGATGATGATGATGATGACGACGACGACGACGACGACGACGACGAAGATGACGATGCCGACGATGCCGAGAGGAGGAGGAGGATGAGGGAGAAGGGGAGAGGAGGGAGGAGAGAGCAGGGAGGAGGAGGCAGGAGGAGGAGGAGGAGGCTCGCGTGCTGCCAGCTCGGCTGGAGTCCTCGGCTGACGGCGCAGAAAACTGGCCAGCTTGGACCCGGGAGGGGTCCAAGCTGGCCAGCTTGGGTCGGGAGGAGCGTCCACATTTATGTACGTAGACTGATTCGCACGCAGACTCATTCACAATCAGACTCACTCGCGCTCAGGCTCACCCGTTCTTAGCCTCTCGCACTCAGACCGACCGTCTTTGTTCGTATTGTGTACCCCGTGACGAATTTCGGCACGCCCCTCACACGGTTCGTGGCCCCATAGGGAGCGAGAGTGAAGATGGTATTCACAATTGCGGTATTCACAACTGCACATGGTTGGGTCCTTCGTCAGGCTAATTGTTTTTTTTGGTCTGCGAAGCCACGAAACATTGTGTATTTTCGGTTTTTGGATTTTTTTGGGTTTGCAAGCCCCCGTGCCCGCCGCGGCCTCCCTCCCAGCACCCCTCTCTCTGCCTCTCAAAACCAAAACAAAAAAAAGTGTTTCGTGGCTTCGCAGACCCCCCCCAACAAAAAAACAGCGTTTCCTTGCATCGGTGGCGCCAAGCATTGCGTAGAGAGAGAGAGAGAGAAGAAAAACAAAAGATAGAGAGAGAGAGAGAGAAAGAGAGAGAGAGAGAGAGGCAGAGAGAGACAGAGAGAGAGAGAGACAGAGAGAGGCAGAGAGAGAGAGAGAAAGAGAGAGACAGAGAGAAAAAGGAAAAGAAGCAGTCGAGGATGAGGAGACGAAAAGGTATGATCTTGGGGGGGGGGGCGACCACACACACATATATATATATATATACAGATATATGTGTGTGTGAATGTGCATACGCATGCAACTTTACGTCTACATACACGTATGGGTCCCTGAACCTTCAATGAGCCCCGCTGCTTCCTTGGAAGATCCAAGAAGAAATGGGGGGTCGGTGGGTGTTTGTGTTGTCTTTCTGTGTGTGTGTGTGTGTGTGTGTGTGTGTGGGTTCGTGTGTGAGTGTGGATGTGGAGTAGCATGGCATGCTCAAGTTCAGCTTGGGGAGGGAGCCTGTCGAGTACTCAGTGTTGTGTTGGAGACGGAGGCTGTGGAGTAGACAGGGGGCTGTGGAGTAGACGGAGGCGGTGGAGTAGAATGGTATAGTCAAGTTCAGCTTGGGGAGGGAGCCTGTCGAGTACTGGGTGTTGTGTTGGAGACGGAGGCTGTGGAGTAGACAGGGGGCTGTGGAGTAGACGGAGGCGGTGGAGTAGAATGGTATAGTCAAGTTCAGCTTGGGGAGGAAGCCTGTCGAGTACTGGGTGCTGTGTTGCAGACGGAGGCTGTGGAGCAGACAGGGGGCTGTGCAGTAGACGGAGGCGGTGGAGTAGAATGGTATAGTCAAGTTCAGCTTGGGGAGGGAGCCTGTCGAGTACTGGGTGTTGTGTTGGAGACGGAGGCTGTGGAGTAGACAGGGGGCTGTGGAGTAGACGGAGGCAGTGGAGTAGAATGGTATAGTCAAGTTCAGCTTGGGGAGGGAGCCTGTCGAGTACTGGGTGTCGTGTTGGAGACGGAGGCTGTGGAGTAGACGGGGTGTGTGGAGTAGACAGAGGCTGATGATGATGGTGAATATGATGATACAATGATGTGGAACATGTGAAAAAGGCATAGAAATGGCTGTGGGGGGACCCTCTCGGAGGGTCCTGCCGGGGCACGACAAACATGCAGGGAAACTGTAGTACTTCATAGAGTGTTCGAGGAACAAATTGTTCATAGTGGGTTCAGCGGGCTACGTATACATTAACATATACATATACATATACATATATATATATATATATATGTATATATATATATATACCAGGGCTGAACCTGAACGGTGGCTTTCGTGTTCGTTTTGTTTTCGTCGCCCCTCGTTTTGTCTTCAATCCACCTCTACCGCAAAACGAAGTCGAAACGCAAATGGCCCACGAAATCGCCAAAACACCGTTTAGGTCGAGCCCTCATACAGTCGGGGCCTTGACCTAAGCAACCCAAAGTAAGGAACGAGGTCCCATTTTTCCAAAAGTTAAACTTCGATTTCCGATCGAAAGCATAAGGAACACCTGAGGCAAGCTGCGAAACACTTAAGGAACGCGGAGCCCCTCCCCAACGAAAAGGGTTCCTTCTTCAGGGCCCCGATTGTATTTACACATGTAAATAAATACGTCTCGTCCGCAAACAGGAACAGCGCAGTGGAGGAGCGCGCGCTCCTGTCGCCCGCTGCCCGGTGGAGCCCGCGCGCCCCACGCCGCGCCGCTCCACAGCGCGCGCGCGGCGCCCGCCGCGAGCGCGGCGAGGGCGAGGCAGCCCGCGGCCGACCTCGGGTGGGGGCAGGCTGCAGGCCCCGGAGGGTTTTGGCTCCCCACGCCACGAAAATCGGCCCTGGGGAATTCTGGGGAATGCGTGGGGGGACGAGAATGACTGGCTACCACACCAACCCGACCCAACCCGAATTTCGCCCGAACTTCGCCCGAATACGAGTTTGGGGGGGGGTCGGGTTCTATGGGTTTTTTTAATGTTCCCCGACCCCCTCCCACTGGAAATGGAGGGCAAACTGAGGCCTTCGGGTTGGGTTGGGGTGGTGCGGTGGGTGGTGAGAGAAAAACGGCGAGGCATTCCACATGACAGCAGTGAGGGAAAGCCCTCCCTGATGTTCACATCAAGACCTCTCCCGGGGCGCGTCCTAACTATAATTTCGAAGCGAATCCGGCGGTTGCAACGAGGACCTCCGAGGAGGCCCCAAAAAGGGGAAAACGGGCGAAGCGTAGCGGTATGGGTACCATTTGAGCAGGGACCGACCGTCCCGGCAGTCCTATAGTCCTACCACGAAATGATCCTAGAACCTAAAAATGTTCTAATAACAGAAACCATGTTCTTAGAACACAAACCCGATGTGATAAAAAAAGACAGTCCCAGCCAGAAATGTTCCGAGAACATTTCGTGGGAGCCACACAAAGGTTCTCAGAATATTGCTTGGTGGGACTATAGGCGGGCCAGGACGCTTCGCCACTGCTTGAAGCACTTCCCTCCAGGATCCTGGTGTATACGTTATCCTTGTGTATACCTTTTTCCGTTATCTTGTGTAGACCACACCACTCCGACGTCGTCCCCGACCCTCCAAAAGTTCTGGGATTGAAAAGCAGCCCGCCACTGGTAACATAGATGTTCCAGTTTCCGAGTATGGGTACCACCTCCTCCTCTGAGATTTGTCGGGTCGGGCGAAAGGGGGGGATAGCGAAGGAAGGGCTGGAGAATCGGCTCGCGTAGCTGATTTCCCTGGCGCCTCCCGGGCGCCGGAGGCGCTCATGTACCGAGGAATGGGCCCGGCGGCGGGGCCGAAACCAGCTGTGTGCAGCAAATTTTGTGACCCCCCCTTTCTTGGGCGTGGCTTCATGGGGGGGTCACAAATGGGGGGGTCAGAAACGGTCCCCTTTCGTGCCCCTTTCGGGCCCCTCTGGAGCCCCAGGGGGCTCGTTTAGGTACCGTTTGGGTACCTTTTCGGACCACCCGCGACCCCCCCCCCATTTATGACCCCCCCAGTACGCCGCGCCCAACTTTCCCAATCCCCCCTTTCCTCCGGCCCGACGCTGCCCCTGGCCGAAGGACCCCGCCCGCGCGGCGCCGCCTCCAGGCTGCAGGGCCGCGAAGGACCAGCGCCCTTCGCCGGCCCCCCGCGCCCGCGGCTGGGCGCGGCGGCGGCGCGGCGCCCAGCGCCCCGGGAAGGAGTACCAGCTGAAGTTGAAGCCGCCGCCGCGCGGCGCCGCGCGGGCAGGGCGCGTGGCTGACTACCTACCAGACCACCCCAACCCAACCCGAAGGCCCGAATTTCGGGTTGGGGGGGGGTACGGGCTCCATGTGTGTTTTCTCAACGTTCCCCGACCCCCCCCAACCGGAAATGGAGGGCAAATTGGGGCCTTCGGGTTGGGTTGGGGTGGTTTGGTGGGTGGTGAGTGGCGGGGCCGGAGCTGGCCGCCCTCGAACCGATTCCTATACTCCCGAAGAGGCCCAGGGACAGGAAGAAGATCTGAGCACAGATCCCAGGATTCCCCGTGTCCTCGTGTATGTTTTGGGCGTGTCGTCTTCCCCTCCACTGCTCAGATGTGCCCGCCTTCGGGGTCGACGATGAAGTGCGTCCGTGTGTTCGTTTCACTCCTGAATTCCTACCGTGCTCAATGGGAAAAGAACCCGATCGAGAAGACTGCCCCGGCAACCCCCCGGACAACCCAGGCAACCCATGCGGAGCAATGGCGACAAGGCGACCTACCCCGGACAGCCCACTGGACAATCCAGTCCAGAGGGGATCCGGACAACCCCCCTTGGACAAGGCTACCTGGGATTTTCTTCCATAAGGTGTAGTAGGGCTGAGAAACCAAAATTCGACGACAATCTCAGGGATGCGCCCTCAGGAGACGAGGGTGTCCTTGAGATCGGCACCGAACTCAGGCGATGCCCATCATGGTGACAGGTGCCTGCTTCGGGCTGGCGAAAGGCGCCACGTGAGCACCGAACAGAAACGGGTCTTACGCACGATGTCCAAGTGGCCTTACGCGGTGGCTTGCGCGGGCGGCCAGCGTGGCACACCGCGTGGAGAAGAGGGCGCTCACGCGCGGCCTGAGGCGGGAAGCTCAGGCGCCAGTGTCGGCGCAGTGGGCGGGGGAAGCTTCGCTCGTCCCGAGCAGCAGGCAAGTTGGCTGCAGACACAGGTCGGCACAGGCAGGAGAGAGGCAGCGGCGCTGCCCCACCTCCGCAGCAGAGGCCCCAGGGAGGCCCCTCCTGAATTGTTGCCGCAGGGGACCCACGGAGGGCCGTGCTGGCTGAACGCATCGTGCACTGCACAGCGGAGGCCAGTCCACAAGAAACCTTCCACGAGAAACCCAACCCTGAGACCCGAGGGCGTCCCTGGATGTTCGGTGTGGGAAGGTCACGCCTCCCATGGCAAAACCATCGAGACCCAAGAAACCCAGGGCACCCTGGGGGCAAGCAGGGTGTTTCCTGGCATGGGCCTCCACTGGACTCGCGTGGAGTCTGGGGCAAAGGTCGCTGTGTGTCGCGGCAGCGCGCCCCGCTTGCTCCTCCCGATTGGTGGGGGGGCACGGTGTCCCCAGTCCCCGACGCTGCGGAGTGGTCGGATCGGCCCGAGCGCTCGGGGCCAGGGCCCACGACGGAGGGGGGTGGCCAGCCTCGACGCAGTCGGCCCGTACGATGAGGACGCGCGGCGTGAAGGTGCAAGGGCCTTGGAAGGCCACGTCGCCACTCTGCGGCCGGGGCGCGGCCAGCGAGAGCAGCCGGGGGGCGGGGCAGAAGAGGAAGGACGCAAGGGTAACTTTGAAAAGTCGGTCATACTCGGTGGCAACTCATCGGAGCCTCCCATACCATCTTGTCGGCTCTTGCGGATCGAGGCTAATCGACGCTCGTCGACGCTGAATCGGCACGAATCGACGCTAGCCGACGCTAAATCGGCGCGCTCTGATCGACTCCCAGACGCTGATCGACGCGAGTCGACGCTGAAGACATACGTTAAAAGATACACCAGGCTCCCATGACTAGCTACCGAAGTCATCCTTCCAGTCGGACTCGATTGGACAGGACACGCGAGAGGACACAAGACCCTTCCGAGGGCCACATCGCCACAGCAATGCAGGAAGCATGGGTCGCGAGACACGGGACACCAGGGCACCCTCGCTTTGGCAGGGCCGACCTACTAATCTGGGCCGACTGTACTATCAGGGTATACTCTAGGGGGGGCGCCCGAAAGGCCCCTTCCTGGGATGTATCCCCCGAGTTTTCGGGACTTCGCCCTCGGTTCATGTCCAAGGCGTACCTTTTCCTGCACATCCACTTCGGCACCGCCTGTTCCCCGGGCCCCGCCCGCTCCTTCCTAGCCGCCTGAGGCCCCGCCTTCCTGTGCCCTGTCTCCCTAATCAAAGCCGTGCGTAGCCCGCCTAGCTTTTGGCGGAAGAGGTTCGCTCTCGCCCCGCAGATCAAAAGTGCATCCCCCGAGTTCGGAGCGGCCAGTCTTGGGCGCCCGAGTTATCCGGGGTAACTCGGGTCCGGGGTAACTCGGGTTTGGATTCCCGAAAAAGGAACCCGAGTTAGCCCTGACCCGAGTTACCCCTGATGATTCGGGGCTCGGGGCGCCCGAGTTATCCGGGGTAACTCGGGTCCGGGGTAACCCGGGCTCGGAGTCCCGAAAAACGAACCCGAGTTAGCCCTGACCCGAGTTACCCCTGATGATTCGGGGCTCTGAGTCTGTGTGGGCGGACTCGGGGACCAGAGGGGCGGGCCACTGCCTGCGAGCACGCGGGCGGGGCGCGCCGCGGCCAGCGGGCCCCGGGGGCCGGCCAGGGGCGGCTCCCGGGAGGCTCTCGCGAGGACGATTCCAGGCGACTCTCCTCCTCCTCCTCCTCCTCCTCCTCCTCCTCCTCCTCCTCCTCCTCCTCCTCCTCCTCCTCCTGTTGCGAAGTGTACCCCTGGCCCGGGGTGCCCCCACCTGCTCGCTTCCATCCGGGGTCCGGCGGGCCCCCATGGGCCTCGCGAGGGGTGCCAATTGGGAGCATGCGGGGGCCTCCTTGGACATCCTGAGGGCACCCTTGGGCCAGGGGGCACTTCTGGAGCAGCACCCGAGTGGAGCCCCAGCCAGGGCGGCCACCGAGCGGGATCAGCACAGCACTGGAGCTGAATCCGCCACCTTCACCTCGAACCGCCGCGGGCCGGCTACAGTCGGACTTGATTGGAGAGGACACGCGAGAGGACACAAGACTCTTCCGAGGGCCACATCGCCATAGGAGTGTAAGAAGGCACGTGTCGCGAGGCACAGGACACAAGGGTACCCTTGAGCTGTCAGGGTCGACCTACTAATCTGGGCCGACTCTATGTCGCATCTTCAGGTTACCTTGTCTGTCCCATCGCGCCGTCGTCCGCGCCGAGCCCGCGTCGAGTCCACGTCGAATCCACGTCGAGCGTCGATCACATGTCGAACCCAGTTCGAAAATGCGCCGTATCCACGTCGAGTCCGCGTAGAGCTCGCATCGGGCATACGAGAAGACTGCAATTTACAGGACAGACGAGGGCGCCCAAAGATGCAGCGTAAGGCAGGGCGTGTCGGGCCCCTCGCCATGTTTGCTCGTCCTGATCGCTGCGAAGCGGCAGCTCGCCCTGCAGCCATAAAGGCGATATAGCGCGAGTCAGGGGGGGGCAATTGAACGGGATCAGACCAGAGTAGGCCCGGGATTTTACAATATGAAAACAGATTAAGCGAGACTAAACCAGATTGAGCGGGACTCTGCCAGATTACGCCTGTCTTAGACCACGGATCTACCAGCGCAGATGCTGAGTTCGACCTCCCAGTTATCGAGCTTCTTAACACTCGATAACAATCGATAACACATCGATAACATCTCGATAACATTTCTATAACATTGGTATCGGGTGGTATCGAGCTCGATAACACTCGATAACACTGTTACCGCTCGATAAAACATCGATAGCACCTCGATAGCAGTTCGATAACATTGTGAGCGAGATGTTATCGATGTGTTATTGGGGTGTTATCGGGCGGCCGCATCTTCGCTCGGCTAGCGGCCGCGGACGCGCGTTGGCAGCCTGCGACGACCCCTCATCCTCCACCTCCACATCGATAGCACCTCGATAGCAGTTCGATAACATTGTGAGCGAGATGTTATCGATGTGTTATTGGGGTGTTATCGGGCGGCCGCATCTTCGCTCGGCTAGCGGCCGCGGACGCGCGTTGGCAGCCTGCGACGACCCCTCATCCTCCACCTCCCTCCTACCCCCTCCCATCCCTCCCCTCCTCCTCCTCCTCCTCCTCCTCCTCCTCCTCCTCCCCTCCTCCTCTCTCCCTCCTCCTTCCCTCCTCCCCCATCCTCTCCCCCTCCTCCCTCCTTCCCTCCCTCCCTCCCTCCCTCCTTCCTCCTCCCACCTCCTCCTCCCCCTGCTCCCCGTGCTCCCCCTCCGCCTCCTGCTCTTCCGAACATTCTCCTCCACCTCATCCTCCCTCGCCCCCTTCCCTCCCTCCCTCCTCCCTCCCTCCTCCCTCCTAATCCCTTCTCCTCCCTCCCTCCTCCCTTCCTCCTCCTCTCACTCCTCCTGCTCCTGCTCCCCCTCCTGGTCTGCTCCCACTCCTCCCTCCCCCCCCCCTGCCGCTGCTGGCGCCGCCGCCGCCGCCACTTCCTCTCCCCCCCCTGCTCCCTCACTCCTCCTCCTCCTCCTTCCTCTCCTCCTTCTCCTCTCCTCCTCACTCCTCCTCCTCCTCCTGCTCCCATGCCCCTCCTCTCTCCAACTCCCCCCTCTCCTCTCCCTCCTCCTCCTCCTCCCTCCTCCTCCTCCTCCTCCTCCCTCCTACCCTTCCCCCCCCCCCTCCCCTTCACCCCCCTCCTCCTCTCCTGCTCCCCTCTGCTTGCTGATGCTATTTCCTCTCCTCCCTCCTCCATCCTCCTCCCCTCCTCATCCTCATCAATCATCATCATCATCCATTCTCATCAATCATGCATCATCATCATCATCAATCATCAATCTCATCATCATCATCATCATCATCATCATCAGGCATCCTTCTCCCTTCCTTTCATCCTCCTCCATGGTCAATCCTCCTCCACCTCACCCCCTTTCGCTTTCCTCCTCCTCCTGCTTTCCCCCCCCTCCTCCTCCTAGAGGAGGAGGAGGAGGAGGAGTAGGAGAAGGGAGGAGGAGGAGGTGAGAGGAGGCAGCAGGATGCGAGGATGCAAGAGAATGGGGGGCGTTAAGTGCGCATTGGGGAATGAAAGGGGGCGCGGAGGAGGAGGGGGAAGCGAGGGGGGGGGGGAGGAGGAGGGAGGAGGAGGAGAGGAGGAGTGAGGAGGAGGAGGAGGGAGGAGAGGAGGCGGAGGAGGGGAGGAGGAGGAGGAGGAGGAGGAGGAGGAGAAGGAGGAGGAGAAGGAGGAGGAGGAGGAGGAAAAGGGGGAGAGGCAGGGCGAGCTCCTCCTTTTCCTCCTCCTCCTCCTCGTCATCCTGGAGGAAATACAGACCTTCGTGCTTCAGGCTCCAGGAGGAGGAGGAGGCGAAGCAGAATGAGGAGGAGGAGGAGGATGAGGAGGAGGAGGAGGAGGAGGAGGAGAAGGAGAAGACGAAGGAGGAGGAGGAGGAGCCTGGTACGTTGGAAGGAGGAGAAGTAGGAGAAGGAGGAGGAGATGAAGGATGCGCGAAGCGCATGATTGAATTCAAACTGGAGCGCAATGAGCTAAGCGCTGTCCAAAAAAAACGCAAAAACACGCTAACGGGGGCAGACATAACGGAACCACATAGAAAAACGTGGCTGACCAAACAATTAAAATCTGGATTCGCAGTGCGTGTTCTTGTTCATTGTAGAATGACAGGAATTCGAGTGGTTGAAGATAGGGGGAAGTGACAGGATAGAGTGGTTTGAGATAGGGGGAAGGTAAGCTTCAAAATACAAGCAACAACATGAAAGCTACCTTCCATAACTTCAACCTAACTTCCACAACTTCAACATAACTACCAGGACTTAGTTATGAGCAACTCAGTAGGGGAGGGCAGCAGGGGTACGGATCGAGCGCCGACCGTCGAGCTCGAGCAAGAAATCTGATGCTGCTGAAGAGAAGCCCCTGGCCCAAGGTGCCCCCCCGCTTCCCGCGCCATCCTGGAGCCGCCCGGGGCACCCCTCTGGGGCTCGTGGGGGGACTCTCTCTCGAGGCCGCGGGGGGCCCCCCTTCGGAAGGCCTGGGACGCACTTCGGGCCGGCGGCATTTCTGGCAGCGCCCCGAGGAGGAGGCGGAGGAGGAGGAGGAGGAGGAGGAGGAGGAGGAGGAGGATAGGGAGGAGGAGGAGGAGGAGGAGGAGGAGGAGGAGGAGGAGGAGGAGGAGGAGGAGGAGGAGGAGGAGGAGGAGGAGGAGGAGCGAGGAGGAGGAGGAGGAGGAGGAGGGGAGGAGGAGGAGGAGGAGGAGGAGGAGGAGGAGGAGGAGGAGGAGGAGGAGGAGGAGGAGAGGCGGCGGACGCGCGCGAAGGCGCCGCCGGACACGTCGGGGTGCCCCACGTGCTGGGACGGCCGGCACCCGTCCACGCCGCTGGCCTGCGCGCTCCAGGCGAAGGGCGGCGAGCGGCTCCCGGCGCCGTGGTGGGCGGGGGACAGCACGCCCATGAAGGACAGGTCCTCGGGACAGGCGCGAGGAGGAGGAGGAGGAGGAGGAGGAGGAGGAGGAGGAGGAGGAGGCGCACATATAAAGGGGCCCCAGGACACACAAATAAATACACACAACTAAAACTGTTCCCCCTATTTTCCCATATATTTTCTCAGTTTTTGTCTTCCCCCCCGCTTCCCATAGTTTCGCATATGTTCCTGGGGATCGACGATTCATTGTGTCTGTGTGTTTCTTTCCCTCCTGAACATAGGGGGGCACACCTTAGTGCGGTGGGCCGCTGCTGGGGGCGCCCGTCCGACCCGAGCACACGTCGGGGATGGACAGGCCCCCCTTTAGTAGTAAAACGTGGTCTAGTGAAAACGCCCTGCGGCCGTAACCTGGCGGGCGCAGGCCTGGAAAATGACGGCCACGGCGCCATCTCGAGAACCGAACACGGACAATTCACCAATCGGCGTGTCACTGTTGGGGTTTCTCTGTCCACCCCCGAATACGACTCTCAAACTCCTGTGGCAGACCGCTCCCCGAGCGGTGCGGCCAGAGAGCTCCCGCCACGGAGCGCATGCTGGAGGGTGCTCGAGCGTGCGCGTCGGCCTCGGGTGGCCGGCGCACATACAGGTTGCCACACGCAGGTCGGGTGGTACCGAGGACGAGGGGGCAGCCGGAGGTCCGCGCAGATGTCGTGGAGATCGGCGCGGAGCCTCCGACCCCACACTCCCGGGTAGCGCCTCTGGCGCACACAGGGCGCGCTCCGCGAGCCCGGGGACGAAGTGTGGGGGGTCCGGCGCCGACCCAAGAAATCAGCCAAGACCTAATAATAAAGTTTATGCCCAACCTGTTCATATATATATATATATATGTATATAACATGTGTTCTGTTTTCGAGGTCCTGCACGTCCCGCCTCCATCGCGAGACCTTCGTGTCGATGGCGCCGAAGCAATCGTAGCCGTGCCCCACGGGATTCAGGTCGCACCGCGCGCTGATCGCATTGCAACGGTCGCCATTCTCGAGTCGGTCGTGGTCACCGTTGTAGCGCATCAGGTGCGCGAAGGAATCCAGGGAAGTGATGTCGCCAGCCTCCCTGGCCCGGGCGAACATTCTGGCTCGCGAGTCTCGCTCGAAACTGTAGTCGTCCGCGTGCAGTGGGTGTCGCTCCTGCATGGCGAAGTATCCGCCAACACGGCGCACGTCCTCGAAGTAGGGGATGTTGTAGCTGGGCCAGGACCCCTGGCTGAGCAGGACACTTGTCATGTCAGCGCGCCTGGTGTATCCAGGGAACGCCTCGGCAATCCACAGGAGCCCATCTCCGCTCTTGGGCCGTTCTCCTGGTCGGAACCGCTTGTAGTCAACGATGATCCACTGGTTATTGCAAGTGCCGCTGGAGTAGCGCTGAAAATGCTCAGTCCACTCTTCTCCTGACGTAGACAGACGCGTCGCGACCATTGCCCTGCCCCACGTCATAATGCTCTGCGGCACAACCAAGCTCCAACTGGAAGCATTATAGTTGGTGATCGTTGTCTCGATCACCGTCAACCCGGCATCGGTGTTGTAGAAATCGTCGGCGCTGTAGAGGCAACCTGGGTTCGATGTGAAAACCATGTGACGCACAGATGATGTTGGAAGAGGCATGTCAAAACCCGCCACCGTGCCTCTGGGCACGAAGTGGGCGTGTCCTCAGGTCATTTGCTCAATCCCTGGAGCCTCCGTCCTCAGTCTTAGGTCGGGCGCGTCCCCCCACAGAGGGATCTTCGACGAAAAATTAAAGATACTCAAAACAGATTCCAAAAGGGTCCAAGAATACTCCAAAACAAGTCCCCATACTATAGTTGGACTATTTTTGAATATCCCCCCTGTAGGGGGACGGGCCCGACGTAGCCTCAGTCCTGAGGAGCCCGTCAGGCGCCCGGACCCCCCTTTCCACAAACTCTCTTGCGCCTCGGCGCGTGCCCGCCCAGGGGTTCCCAGCACCTCGCCGCGTGACTCCTTGCCATCCCCATGAGGGCCGGGAGACGGGCCAACAGAGACCCCACGAGGCAAGCACGACGGTCCAATCGTAGGAAGGCACCAACTATACACCAACACCGATCCTGGCCAGGATCACCCTGGGCCCAGGATCGGTGTATACGCCCTCCTGCCTTGCGCAAGAAGGCATATACACCGATCCTGGGCCCAGGGTGATCCTGGGCCAGGATCGGTGTTGGTGTATAGTTGGTGCCCTCCGAAATCGGGCCGGGCGAAAGGGGGGGACAGCGAAGGGAGGGCTTGAGAGAATCAGCTCGTGTAGCTGATTTTCCCAGCGCCTCCCGGCGCCGGAGGCGGCTATGTATCGAGGCATGGGCCCCTCGGTGGGGCCGAAACCAGCTGCATGCAGCAAATTTCGTAACTCCCCCTTTGCCCATCCCCTCCTTGCGTCCGGCCGGATCCAAGAGGGCCCCGAGTGGTCGCGAGATCGTTCCGAGGGCCGAAGGCCAATTGATACTTGACAATCTTCAGCATGGCACGGTATTCGTCCCACGTCGCGTGAGCAACCCACAGGTCGGACCAGCCCGGCGCCGGCTGCACCAGCGCGCTGCAGTGGCCCCTACGGCCTGGCCTCCTCGCCAGGAGCGCATCCGCGACCCACGCCTCGGGCGGAACATCCGGCGAGGCGTGATCGCGGCCCCCGTGGTGACGACCTAAGACGAAGCCAGGACGAGGTTAAAATCGGGTGAGGATTAAGAATCTCTGAGTTCCAGCGGTTCTGAGGAATGTCTCGGGCGCCTCGGCCTTCTCAGAGCGTGGCGGAACGCTCTGAGAGCGCGCCTGTCCGCTCTGGAATGGATCTGTCCTCGTCCCAGCCCCGTCCGAAGACCCCCATGAACGTTCACGAAGCTCCCATTCAGAGCGATGGCTGTAACCAGGTCGTCCATGTCTGCGTCGATCAGCGACAGCATGAGTATCTCGGCCTCGAAATGCGGCCGCAACTCCCCCCCGCTCCGGGCGGCTGCGTGGTTGTAGCCGTCGGTGAGGCCCCGAAGCTGCGACAGGAGGGACCCCGTGAGATGCCAGTACGGGTCATGCCCATGCAGCTCCGTCTGCTGCCACATCCAGTCGAGGTTCTCCTTGGGAAGAAAACGGTATACAGCCGAAACCAGCCACAAAGACGGAGCGCCAGGATGTAAGGCACACAGGACGCGCCAAATCAGGAATGCCATCGGAGAGAGCATGCCAACCATACAAAATGCCGAAGGATGCAAGCGCGAATGATTCAACCGACCCCTATCCCAGTTGGCGTGGCCTTGAGCCCCTGGCCGACTTACCCACCTGGTCAGGGAAGTATGCCTGTTCCTTAAGATTTCGCGGGCCTATCCCTACCTAGGAGGGTGGGCCGGTGGGGCTGAGAATACATGGCCCAATGGAGATTGGAATATATTGGACGATGCTGAGCAAGAGTCCCCTGCTTCAAAGGCTCGTCCGTAAGGCCGGATTCGACTGCACATCGGCGCACACAAGACGGCGGCAGGGACAAATCAACATCGAGCAGTGCGACATCAAATCGGGAAACTCCTGGAACAAGCGGGTCTGGAGGATGTAGCCGGCGCCATGGCCGATCCAAAGCGCTGCGGAACGCTCTGGGCCACTTCACCATGCTCCTGGGCATGCCTGGGTATCCCCTCCCTCTCCAGGTCTCCGCCACGAAAATGCGCACGGCGTCTGGCATGGAGCCCACCTCTGGAAGAGCGAGAGACGGTATAAACATAAACTGTTGGAGGCCCGCGCGGAGTTCTCGGATCCGCCCTGGGCCCCCCTGGCGGCGCCTCGGGCGCCGCCCCTGGCGCGCGGTGCGCCAAACGTTTATGGTTATGCCGTTTTTCTCCTTCGAGTCTGGCACGGAGCTAGAGGCTTCCTAGATGGGGTCGGAGTAGATGGGGTCGGAGGATCGCGCCACATCGCCAATGCATCGGTGACGTATCGGCGATGCATCACTGACTTCGGCGGTGTATCGGCGACGCCAGCGTGGAGAAAATCGGGCTCCTCATCGAGCCGCATCGCCGATGCATCGACGATCGGCGCGAACCTCGGACACCCCCTGCTCCGACCCTATCTAGGTGGGGAAACCACAAGGTACCGATACCGCTACTCCCCAGACCTCTCCCGGGGTGCGTTCTGACCAGGATTTCGAGGCGGATCCAGCGGTGGCGACGAGGGCCGCCCCGCAGGCCCAAACAGGGGAGAAATCGACGGAGGGGCAGCGCGGCATGGGCACCCCGTGCTTCTCTGACAGTACCACCCGCCCGAGAGTCTGGCCACGGTGCCCACCTCGTGCCCAGGGAAGTCCACCTGCCACATGTTGGCCAGCTGCTGCTGCATGCGCACGCCCGTCAGGGCGCCCTCCAGGAAGCCGGCCGCGTAGCCCTGCTCCCGGCCGTCCGCCTCCGGCGAGGTGTGCACGTCCAGCACGCTCCAGCCTGCGCGGGGCGAGGGGCCGCTCAAGTGGGGCACGTCCCTCTACAGTGGTGGATGCCACGACAGTGGACACTCCAACACTCCTATCATTGAATGAAAAATGTGTGTTAAAATGTGTGTAAAACATGTTCTAATGGCGTGTCGAACATGCGTCTTACATAGGTGATAAACAACCGTGTTTAGACATGAGGAAATTATTTGGCAGCATGTTTCCTCTCCATTGCTCGACTTCCACGACTCTACAGGAGGAAGGTTCAAAAAAAAGTCAAACAATGGTCTGGGCAAGATTGATCAAGTCTTTTGGACAATGTGAAACGATCTTTTGCCCAAGTTTCATTTTCCTTCCGAAATCCGCCTGTAGGACGACATGCCCGACCTACGGGGCCGCGGGGGTGAGGCCGCGGGGGCACCGACGCCGGCGGCGACGACGACGACTCGCCATCGCTCGGACGTCCAGTTCCTGTGCATTTGTCGGTGTCGTGCGGGTATGTTTCACAAGGTGGACAACCATGCTCCTCGATAGGTCCTTGCCAAGAAGAAACGCACAGAGGACCTCCAGCGACCTTCGGAGCGTGGACACCCCTGACCGATGCGTTGCAGATGTTCAGCCCTTGCTGGACCTCCGTAGGTCTCTGGAGGCCTCCTCGGACCCTTCGGAGACCTTGTAGACTCCCCTGACCACCTGTCTGGTTGATGCTGTCAGTGAAACTGCCCCATGCAATCGCCAGCCTGCGGAGAAAAACAGGTACCGATACCGCTACTCCACAGGCCTCTCTAGGATCACGGTCTGACCAGAACTTCGAGGCGAATCCAGCCGTGGCGACGAAGGCTCTCCGAGACGACCAGCGGTGTCGGTGCCTTTCCTCATCTGACAACCTTCCCGCATGCCCTCGCACTAAAGAAGAATCCATCGAGCCCTCTTGGGTCTCTAGGCGTGTGAGATCGTCCCCCCCTTCAAAAACCCCAAACTGGGACTGTGACAACCCCCCCGGGGCCCCAGGTGGTCCACACCGGAACTCCCCCGGCGCTGCTTGTGCCTTCCAAGACGGCCCCCAAGGTGTCCAAGACGGTCGCCATGGATCAGAAAACGAACGACACCACCCCACCTTCGGCCCCGCGGGGCTTAGTGTATACAAAGAAATCTGGCGTGGGTGTGTTCGTGGTATCCGCCACGGCCCCTGACGGGCCGTGGCGCAACGTCGCAACGTGGAGTGCCGCGGACGGGGTGGCGTCGTTGGCTCTTTGGTCCAAAGACGGCCCCAGGTGGCCCCGAGTGGCCCCGTGTGGCCCCGAGTGGCCCGAGGGCTCGGCGGGCGTGGCGCAACGCCCGACGGCTCGCCATCCTCGCGGTAAACGACGCTCCAGACCTCTGCACCGTCGGGCACCGGGTAGGGCGGCGGAGCGACGTGGGCACCTCCCAGCTCCGCGAGCGCGGCGAGCCAGACCAGCGGGCGCAGGGCTCGCCCAGACGCCCGGCGGGTCCTCGGCACGCCCATCCAACCGAGGCGCGGGCCGCAGTGAAAGGTCGGCGGCCAGCGAGGGGGGGAAGCGAGAAGGACAAGGCCTTCTCAGAAGGCGGCGGGGCTTCTCAGAAGCCCGGCAGCCTTCTGAACGGCTTCCTGCGTCTTCGGGGAAGGCTTAGAAACCTTCTCGGCAGGCCAGGGGACGTCAGAGCCTTCTGAGAAGGCCCGCTTCTTCTCACATCCCCGCGGGCTCGCCGCCGAGCTCTAGGGATCAGAAAAGGGCTCCCATGGAACCTGCTGGAGTGTCGCCAGAGCCGCCCGAGCACTGGCCTGACCACACCAGCCCTCCTCCGCCTTGGGGCCACAAGGAGTCACGTCAGCGCTCGGACCTCCCAAGCGGCATCACCTGAAGGGACTCGGCCGGCAAAAACGCTGACCAGATCTTTTTCTGATCCCGAACGCAGTCCAACCTGGAGGGAAGAGCGGCGAGGCAGGATGGCCGTGCGCCAGCCGCCGCTCTCACCAAAAATTGCTGCAGCTGAACACCGCGGTGCTCTTCAGGCCTCCTCCTCATCCTCCTCATCCTCATCCTCCAAAATACCGCTAAACCTGACACAGGATCCGCGGGACGCTCGGAAGAGACGAGGTTGAGACAGAGCAACGGAACCTGAACCGAGACCACGGGCGACACTTGCGCAGCTGACGAGACCTTGAACAATG